GTCACCACATGCTCATCCAGAGGGATGTATCTTGCAAGTATAATTCAATGCATTCAGTTGGTTGTCCTTAGGTATAAACTTTTTTACCAATCTGACTGAATGATCTGGTGCAATTGTCTCTGTAAAGTTCCCTGAGATGGCATCTGTTTTAAATTGGCGCTATATAAATAAATTGAATTGAAATTTAATTGAAGTAGTATTTTTTGCTTTAAAGAACTTTGTGACTTTGTGTAAATAAACTTTTCACACCCAGTTTGTTAAATGAAATGAATATTCAGAAAAGGCTTGTATTATGATGTGACATATCAGCTTTTCCAGATAACTGAATGAACCCACCCTTGCAGGACAACCAAGGGCCTCCCGAGAAGAGGCCCCACATCTTATCCAACATATACTAATCAGGCATAACGTAACAACTGTCTGTTGGTTTCAGTTTTCTTATCATTGCACAGATTCCTAAAAAAAAAATAGCTTACCAAAAAAGTAAAATATTTAAATAAGAAATAACATTAAAAAAAAAACATTATTTCAAACCAGTCATATAGACAGATTCAACATCACTGTATACATTCTGATTCAACCCAGCTTGCAAACCATCCGATTTATATTCAGTTCAATATGCTAAATTATCGGCACCCAGAAACCAGCACTGATCCATTGACTTTGCAGCAATAACTCCACCTGCAGCATGTAGCAGCAATTTCTTGGATTTAGTCTTCACGTTTGCAGCCATCTTTAGGAAGTTTACAAAAACAGAGCAGATACACAAAATGGCACAGCTGTGGATACGCTTACAGTACAGATCAGCCATATGGAAAAGAGCTTATTTTATTGGTGTCTCTGTAAACAGGAGACAAAGAAAAGTATAAACCCCAACTCATTAAATGAGAAATTGTGGCCATTAAATCTTAAGTTTCTTTCATCTGATATAGTTTACATTTGCACCCACATCATTGTCATCATAAACTAATGTGATAATCTGAAATCACATCTGAAATGATTAAAATAAGACAAAAAACAGTGTAAAATTACCCAAGAGGTAGATACATTGAGAAGAAAATTGAAATGAAGTGTTATAGAAATTAAAGTGTTATGAATTTGACCTTGAAAAATCACTTTGAAAGATTAGATAAAATAAACAAAACACTACAGCACACATTTTATAAATAAGGTATCTTCCAAAAGCTACTGGATGGTTCATTTAGGGACATCGTAGAACAGGTAACCTAATATTTATATGACCTAATTCTTCTATTGAACATCAATCAATCTACAGCGGGTGTCATAAGTATTAAACACAACTCATTTTTCTCAATAAATATATTTCTAGAGGTGTTATTGATATGATATTTACACCAGATGATGGTAACAACCCATGGAATCCACACATACAAAGAAATCAAACCATAGATTAAGTTATGTATAAATAACCTGGAATGACACAGTGAAAAATAATGGAACACGTAAAGTAAGGGAGGTGCAAAAAGGCACGGAAAGTCAAGACACCTGCCAAAATCTCTCAGTAATTAGAAAGAAATCCTGCCCCTTCCTTGTCAGTGCAAATTAGTAGCAGCTGGATCAGTCCCAAATGATGGCCTATAAAAAGTTGTCTCTGGTATCACACAAGAAACATCTCATGATGGGTAAAAGTAAAGACTTTATTGCAAACTATAATGATGGTATTAGTAACAGAAAGGATTTCTACACTTCTGCATGTTCCAGTGAGCATATTAAGGCCATAATCCGGAAGAGGAAAAAAATTTTTCTCACCATAAACCGACCACGACCAGGTGCTCCTTGCAAGATTCCTGACAGAGGAGTTAAAAAACATATCAGAAAAATTGTCCAAGTACCAAACAATAAGTAATGCACTCAGCCGCCATGGCCTGTATGCACGTTCATCAGGCAAGACCCCATTGCTGAAGAAAAAACATGTTGACGCTCATT